CCTCCGCTAGCAGTTACCTCATGTATGCGTTTTAGACGGAAAGAAAGTAAAGTACCACGGACGAACTAGGGCACCGCGGCAAAGGTCAGTGTCCCATCGAAATTGTACCAGTGGCGGCGATGAACTAGGGCACCGCGGCAAAGATCAGCGTCCCATCCTTTGTTGTTTTTTTCTTGAAAAACTTCTAATCTTATTCATCACATATCATGATAGTACAAGAAACACCAGAAATAATAAAAGTTACATTCAGATCCGTAGACCACCTAACAAATAATAACGACTACAAGCATTGGAGCGAGCTGAAGACGCGCCGTCATCGTCACCCCCTCCCACATCGGAGTCAGGCAAAACTTTTTGTAATAATCTGGGAAGTCCTCGTGCTAAGACCCCACAGGACCAGTAGCGCACCAAAACATCAACCACCACTGGTGAAGAGAAGTGTAGAACGAAGGGATCCAACATGTAGACACACGAAGGAAGACTGGATCCACGGTGTAAGAGGGAATAGATGGGAGATTGGTGGAATTAATGTATCGCTTGAGCCTCATGAGCGTATATATAGAAGTTACATGAACATCTTAGGGTACAAGACAAGCTAGAACAAATCCTGGTCTATCCTAAACAATCACGATACTCAACATCCCCTGCAGTCACAACAGTAATGACGCAACGGTGAAACTGGAGAAGAATCCGAAGGTTGTAAGCCAACAGACATCCCCCAACAGTCCTAACGGTCGATGCATCGCAGAAGTCGCGGCTGCAGTGAAAATCGATGATGTTGCTCAAGTAAGGCGACAACCCTTTGTGTCATTGTCGAGGTAGCCGAAAGTGTAAGGTGGTATATCCATGGTTGAGGTAGCCGTGCAAGGACGCCGTGGTCGATGTCGAGTCGGGGGTGGCTGGTGTGTCGAGGTAGCGTCGTGGAGCCGTGGGCGCAAGGGGGCTCCAAGTTAGTCATGTGCGGACTGGTGTCTGAGGTAGTGATGCGCCGAGAAGAAGACGGTGTTGACGAGGCATTATGTCGCGTTTACCAAGCTCGGGGACACGTCGTCACTACTAGGAAAAAGCCTAGTAGTAGCGCGGGTTAATAACCTAGTAGTAGCGTGGGTGCTCGCGCTACTACTACGGTGCTACAACTAACTAGTAGTAGTAGCGCGGTGCATCCCACGCTACTACTACATGTGTTAGTAGTCGCGCAGATTCCACACGCGCTACTAGCACTAGTAGAAAACAGGGCTATCGTTCGGGCCTGGCCAGCCCATTAGTCCCGGATCTTCACGAACCGGGACACATGGGGGGGATTAGACCCGGTTCATGAGCCCAGGCCGGGGCCTCGTGGGCATTGGTCCCGGTTCGTCTGGACCCATTTGTCCTGGTTCTAGGCACGAACCGGGACCAATGGTCCTCGCTCCTGGCCCACAGCCATTGGTACCGGTTCATGCCTTGAACCGGTGTAGAAGGGGGGCCGGGGCCTTTAGTCCCGGTTCATGCCACGAACCGGGACAAATAAATTGCCTATATATACCCATCGCCGTGCAGAGCACTCCACAGTGCTCTGTTTTTTCTGGCCGGCGAGGGGAGGGCTTTTGGGTGCTCTAGCTCACCTCCTATGCACATGAGGTGTTCGATGAAATGTCCGAGCCACACTAGTTAATCTTTCTCCTCTCGAAACTCGATCTCCGAGCTCCATTTTCCCTGAGATTTGTCTAGGTTTAGCGGTCCGTCACGTCCTGTCCCAGTCTTCACCACAGTCGATCGCCCGCGCCGATCTCGTCGCCGGCACCACCATGGTGAGCCTCTTGTTCTTATCTTCTTTCTGAAAGAAAAATATTCTTACTTCAAATAGATACTTGTCTAATTTTCTTACTTTTATTATTCCTTGTTATTATATAGTGTGATGGTTTTGCTATCCACCCCCATCGGCCCTCATCCTGTCTATGATTCAGATGTGGTATATATTATCTTTTCATAACTATTTGGTTCATTTATTGTTTATGACAATTATGCCGACCAACGTGACATAGATTTTATTTATCTAGGAGGTTGTTGAACCGGAAATTCCAACCGACCCTATTGTCCAGAGGTTAAATTTAGTTGAAGAAGAAAACAATTACTTGGAGGAAAAAATAAGAAAAATTGAGGAGGAGAAGATGATATTGGAGTTGCATGTTGCGGATGTCGTCGATGATCACAAGATCAAGATGGATGCAATGCGGTTGAAGATTAAAAAGATTAGAAAATATGACATTCATACCGAGGCTTGGTATCATTATGCAGTTGGATCAGTTGTTACCTTGGTTGCGATTATGATCGCATTTATTATTGCATTGAAATGTTTTACATAATTTCAATGTATGGTTTAATTAGATGCTCTGGAGAGCTATATGTTGTTCAATGAGAACTATGTATGTACTTTGGTTTTGATGTGATGATGAACTTCTATTAATGATAATATGTGGGTGAAATGATGATACCATGCCAACTTGGAACCTTTTCAGAGTTCATTTCAAATGCTTTTCAATTTCATGGTCTTATAGCTCAAAATAATCAGTAGATGCATGAAAAATAATAAATGTAGTCAGAAAGGGTTGTAAATTGATGATGTGGCTTTGAATGGTGCATTTTGAACACAGAAAAACTATGGAGTTCAAATAAGTTAAAAAAATGAAATCCCTTTGTAACAGACGAGTTTCTGTATGAAACCTTGATACTTCGAAAGAGATTGTCCGTTTTGTACACGAAGTGCATCCAGTTTTTGCCGTAACCCTCTCTACTTTATCGCACATGCTATGTGGGTGAAATGATGATACCATGCCAACTTGGAACCTTTTCAGAGTTCATTTCAAATGCTTTTCAATTTGATGGTCTTATAGCTCAAAATAATCAGTAAATGCATAAAATATAACAAATGAAGTCAGAAAGGGTTGTAAATTGATGATGTGGCTTTGAACAGTGCATTTTGAACACATAAAAACTATAATAGCAAAAAGAATTATCATAAAATAAAATAAATAAGTAATTTGAAACAAAATAATATAAACTATAATAAAATATATAAGCAGAAACAAAATAAAATAAAATACAATAAACTTTAATAACATATAAATTTATGAAACTAAAATTATCAAAGTATTTTCTGTTCAAAATCAGTAAAAGCAAAAAGAATTTTCATAAAGAACTTTTTTTGTTAGAAACTTTAATAGCAAAAAGAATTATCATAAAATAAATAAGTAATATAAACAAAACAAAATAACATAAAATAAAATAAAGAAAGAAAAAGGAAAACAAAAAAACTGGGTAAAGATAAAAATTTGCCACCTACTGGGCCACCACGGCCTGAATACGACTAGAAACCCTATTGGGCCAGGATTCAGGCCCGTAGATGGCCCAGCAGGCCCACAGACAAAGACACAAGTTTAGGCGAGTAGGCCTGCAATAGTGATGAGTTCAAATGGGTGGGCAGAGTCGCGCTTATAAATAGGTGCGACCCCTCTTCAGCTAGCGAGGTCGGACTAAACTTTGGCCGCGACGCGGGCAGCACTGGGGCCTTAGGTACCGGTTCGTGGCACCAACCGATACCAATATCCCACCTTTAGTCCCGGTTTGTGCCACCAACCGGGACCAAAGGCCTCTGCTTCCCGCCCTTTGGGCTGCTGAAAAGAGACCTTTGGTCCCGGTTGGTGGCACCAACCGGGACTAAAGGGGTGCATTAGTCCCGGTTGATGGCACCAACCTGGACTAAAGGGTTGGGTATAAAACAAACACTTGTGAAAAAATTTCTTTCAGTTTGTCCTCCCCGCCGCCCGACGCCCCAGCGCTGCTCCTCGTCGTCGTCGCCTCTGCCCCGCGCCCGAGCCCTTGCCTGCGGACTGCCCCCGCGCGCTGGCGCCCTCGCCGCCCCTGCCTCCGACGCCGTCGCCGCGCCGTCCCTGCCTCCGACGTCGTCGCCGCGCCGCCCCTGCCCTCAACCACATCGTCGCCTGCGCCGCACCGGAACCTGCCCCGCGCCCGAGCCCCTGCCCGTGGCCCGCCCTCGCGCGCCGGCGCATTCGCCGCTCCCGCGCACCGGAACCTCCCATGTATGTATGTATTTTTTAGATATATGTATTTTTTATGTATGTTCATAAATGTATGTATGTATTTTTTACATGTTTTTTGTATGTATGTATGTATATTTTTCAATTGTAATGATGTTTTAAAGTATACATATATGCAAGTTAGATTTTTAGAAAATTTTTATCTATATATGTTCTCTGATTTAGTACATTTTAGGTTAGTTTAATTTTTAGAAAAAAAATTAAATATCTAGCTAGGAAAGAAAGAAGAAGAAAAAGAATGAGAGGAAAAAGGAAAATAAGAAGAGGAAGAAAGGAGGAGAAGAAGAATAGGAGAAACAAATAAGAAGAGGAAAAAAGAATAAAAAGAAGAGGA